TCCAATTTTTATAAATCATATTTACTAGGACAATGTCCTGTTATTAATCCAGTGTAGGAGTAACCTTTACGTACTCAAAACGTTGGGCTTAATGAATCGTTTAGATTGCCGGGCTGTTGAGGTATTATTCCAATTGGAGTGTACCTTGCTTTTTTCCCAGTTCTTTAATTCCATTTTCGGATTTGAAGGCGATAGACCAATAAACGGTTCGGGACCAATACATTGCTGGGATGAGCCAAGCTTTGCTAATTGATCACTTTTTCTAGTGGCGTCACGTGAGAAAATTCACTAGTTGTGCACCTATTTTATTTATATTTTATCTGTAACAGTAGAAGCCAATTTTGATGCATAATAAAAAAAAATGGGATACAAATCTTTCGACGGGGGTACCTACATAAAAAATAAACGAAATGATGATGGGAAACAGTTCTGCTACCAGTTTTGCTTACTCTTGCATAGAAACATTGATTTTCTTTTTAAGTCTCATGTTTATGATATTTGTCATCGTTACTCACCGTTTCCTAAGCAGTAGCGTTGAGTTGACGCCAATTGCGATTTCCTCGAAATGCTCCACTTCCCGCGCAATTTCCTCGAGCATGACACAACCAACAATTTCCACTTGTCTATTTTCGGCAAAGTTCCGCGTTAAGATTTTACCATTTCTTTTACATGTTGTTTTCAAGTTGTCCAACTTTAGTCGTGGGACGTCCATTCTCGCAATAAGCATTTATTCCTCCATGGATCTTCTGGCAAACGGTCTTTTCAGGAGGTCATCAACAATATCCTGTTCCACGATTCCTATTTAATTTTGCACTATGCTATTGGCAAATCAAAGTTGGCACTCGTGGAGAATAGAAGAACTATGAAGGTGATGATGGTTTCAAAATTTTCCACGGAGAGGTATACGAATGCAATCTTAAAATGCTTTTATTTTGCCAATACAGCATTTTATTTAAATATGGTTTCTGCTACAGTGGTAGAAAAGCTGAAATCTATGTATACACTTCAAAATCTGAAAAGAAATTATTTTTTTCTATATCATATGTCTATTGAGTAGCCCTTAAGTTTTCTACTAACGTAGCATTAACCAGATTTAATTAAAATGCTCCATTTGCATAATAGAAGCATTTTATGATTGTACTCGTATACCTCACCGTGTAAAATTTTGAAACCTTCATCACTTTCTTAATTCTTCTATTCTCCACGAGTGCCAACTTATAGCGAATTCGTTTATTATCGGGGTTGGAACCAGTTCCAACCCAGTGCGAAACCGGACTTTTTGTCAGTGCGAACCTCAACCTGAGCTGGGTTTTAAAAACAAACGATCGAACTGACGTTTGTCAGAAAACAAGCAGGCCCAATCTTGATACTCGATCCAGGTTGGAACTGAATAATAAACGAATTCGCTATTAGATTTGCCAATGAACAATATTCCATCAATGCGCTGAGGCTACTGAATGAAATGCAGACATAGTAGTGAGAAAATTAAAAAATTAAAAAATTCGATGTGTGCGTGTAGGTAGGTATACAACGAATGACGGCTCTCCAAGATTCAATGAATTCAGAGAGAAACTCAAATGCAACGTTGCCTATACGTGCCAATTTATTCTCTTCTCTTTAAACTGTGCAAAGATAGAAGTGCACAAAATAAACACTAACACAGCGGCAATTATGCTTACGGGACTTCAATACATATACAACTGATCTGGTTGTAAATACGAGCGTTTCTGGTGCACAAGCAAAAGTGCTCAGACTGGGAGAACTAAGCATGCGGTGGCTTTGGTAGAACGAAGGTATATTTTCCTTGCTTGTTTTGTGTCGCTCATTCGCCATAGAAGCCCAAAAACAGTGTTGTCTGCACGTGGTAAAATCCCAGCGTGCCCGTACGTAAAAACAAGATCGCTATGCCTCGCTTCTGGTTTTACGTACATTTCTTTCAGTGGCAGGTAAAACGGAGGTTGAGTATCGATGTGGTAAACAATTCAGCTACTATCCAGTGATGGATAGTTCAGTTACTATCCATATGAAACCAATAAATAGGGCGGACAAAAATGGTTTTAGTTGAGTATTAAATTTTTGCCTCTTAACTTTTATGAAATATAAATTTTACTTTTAGAAAATTCGAGACTGTGCAGTGCACGAGGTGCACATATGGACGAGACGCCACTGCTTTTTCATTTCCTTCAATGCCGCAATGACCAGGAACCCAATATAGATTTACCTTGTTACGACAGGACAATTTCTGAAGTTGATTATAGCATTTCCACACTAACTTTGACGTATAGATCATTGATTTAAGGGCATTCAATTCTGCTTGACTGTCCGAAAAAATGCATATGTGTGCATTCCTAAAATTTCTTTTTAAACATATTTCTACACATTCTAGAATCGAAAATATCTCTACTTGGAATACTATTGGCCATTTATCCATTGCTACAGAACAGTTAATCCCGAGACCTGTTATCCAGTTTTGAGCCATCTGTGTAGAATGTTATAGACCCATGACGAATTAACACTCTTCAGTCCCCCAATCGTTACGTGTTACATTAAGGGGAAGTTAACCGCTCCAAAAAAAAATTACATTTTGATTTTTCTAAAAATATTGGAAAAGGTATTCAAAATCTAAAAAAAAAATCACATTTTCTAATTTTTAAAAGAAATCTCACGTGCAAAAACATTTTTTATAAGTCATTATGGCATAAAGTTGGACTCAAAAAACCACAAAACATCGACTTTTCGGTTTTGCTGAGAGTCCAATTTTTTTTCATGATGAGATTTTTTTGACAAAAATCTAAGGAAGAAACTGATTTTCTTGGATTTTTGATAATTTTTCCCAATATTTAAACGTACCGATTTTTTTTCGGGCCGGTAACCTTCCCCTTAAGTCAGGCTTGATGAAACCTCGCTCGCGAGTTTGAGATGAGCCGAGCGTAGCATTTTTCTGAGGAGTAGAATGCCTACTGCCAAATCATTCCACTGAGCTTCAGAGCTTGCGAGCGAAGGGGGATAAAATGAGAGTGAGGTTTGCTGCCATTAATGTTCATGTTTTCTATCACACGCTCTTACTCTCATTTTGGATCAACTCTGAGCTTCTTGCGTCGAACAAAAAAGTCATCCGAAGTCTCGAAAAGCGCACCTCACGTCAAATCATCCTCTCGCTGAAGTTCACTCTCCCGCTCTCTCGAGGAGTTTTGTTTACTTTTTCAATATTCCTGCCGCCACTAACTCGAGGTGAGGGCTGGCTAAACTCGCAGGACAAGAGTGTTTTAAAACCTCCAGTGAGTTTGAGGAGTTTCAGCAAGTCTGCCTTAAGTACATAGATGGTTGAATTCATGTGTTTTTGCCATAAAATCTTCATTCTTCAATATTAGTGGCAAGAGATGAACAAGCCTCTGGCTAAATGTCTCGCTAATAAAGATAATCTAACCTAACCTAATATTAGTGGACTTAATTGAATCTCTTTCAAAATGCTCATATGATTTTTAAGATCTCCTTCAAAGAGCTCTTTGTTCGTCTGAGTCTGAGAGCATTCTTCATTGTATCCAGTTGAATGAATTCATGTAAAGGAAGAAGATTAAGCAAAACTTCTATGGCTTTAGATGGAGTACTGCACATTGCTCCAGTTATGGAGGTAGTGGTCAACCTCTGCAGTTTTTCAAGTCTTTGTTGAGCTGTTTTTTGCAATGTTTTTGGCCAGCAAACTAGTGATGCATAGATTGTTCTTGATTTTACTATAGCCGAATAAATCCAATGTAACATTTTAGGTTTGAGTCCCCATTGCTTACAAAACGTACTTTAACTAATCCAAAGAGCATAGGTTGCTTTTTATTACTTGTTCATTCTAATAGAGTTTACTATCTAAAGTTACTTCTAAGTATTTAACTTCCGAAGAATATTTTAATTCTGTTCCTCCCAAAGAAAGTTTTGAAAATAAGACTTTTCGTCTTTTTGTAAAGGGTCGTTGTTTTTGAAGGATTTATTTTCAATCCTTCATTTTTGCACCACAGTGTATTTACATTTAATGCCGTCTGCATTCGGCTTGAAATGATTTCATCCAGTACAGAGACGAACCAGCCGAAGACTGAAAGTCTCTTTAATAAAGAAAAAAAATAATTAGTAAACATTACACTTGCTAGATTTTTTGCCTCTTCATTGGACTGTCTTGATCCATTTACTGAGTTATGGTCTCTAGCGAAATTTACAACAGATAAAGTGGAAGTAGTAGGCAAAGACCCAGTGAAATGAGATTGCATCATTACTTTCAAGGTTTCTTAAGTAGTTAAGGTAAAAGAACCGTCTTCTTTTTTAAGGGCTCCTAAGCTGTTTGCATGATCCTTAGAAAGGAATTTTTGAAGTCTTGCGGAACAGGAGTACTTTCAATGTTTTCACATATATGTCTCCAATCTTTACGTTTGGATCTTCTCTAAAATGTCTTATTAGGGCGCTAATCACGATAAACCAGTGCACGAAAATTACACTTTGAACCGGTCGCGAACTTGTTTTTTTTAACTTTGACTTTTCCCCGTGCGAGTTGGATTTTTCTGCATTTTTTTCTTTATTTTTCCCGGCAAATCCAAATTCCGCTTTTTCCAATTTTCCAGGATTTCCCGGATGGGTGGATATCCCGAAAATATTTTTTACAAGGTCCAAATCAACTATTTTCATACTTTAATATATCAGGTCATAAACAAAAAGCATTAAGATTAAGCCTTAAAAATATGTGTACATATCTTAAGGTGCTCATTTTGGCCTTCCTTCCGTTATGTGGCATTAATTTCTAGGTCTGGGGTACTTGCGTTAAAGTTGACATGCGTTATAACCTTTTATAACTGCGTCAAAAGTGGTCGTAATATTTGCACAGCACTTTGATTTCAAGTTGACATTCCACGGGAAAAAATATAATCACTTAAAATTTCTAAATTGGCTTTGTAATTAATAGGGATTTGTTACCATAATCTCACTCGACCATCCATATATTCAATAAATAAATATGAACTCACCTTCGGTATTTGCAGCAATAGTGGCTCCAGCCGTTGAATAGAAATCTTTGGATTTGCCCTGAGTGCATCGAAGATGGTGTTCACCTTATCAACCGTTGTCTCCGATACTTTGTGGCCGTCGCCTTTCGACAGCAATGCACTTCCCGACCGGAACACTTGGCTCACTGATCCTCCCATATCGCCCACTTCAAAGAAGCACGCTCAAACACCCACCACCACCGCTACGCCTCTTCTCCACTGATTAACTCAATTTTCTCAACCACCTGTCTGTGCTCACTTTTCATCAACCAATCATTTCAAGTCACTGGCGTAGATTGCTGCATGCAAGCGATTTTCCTCTGAATGAATCGAAATCAAAACAAACACTCTCCCGTTTGGCTCGTTCCGAACGGGCTATTCGTTATCATCACCTCACGTTCACAGTTTTGTATGCCTCCGCGCGCGCATCGGTTCTAGTGCAGCTGTTGCTCTGACGAGCTAGGAATGACGAATGAGTATTCCTATTCCCCTCCCACAGGTTCGATCCAGAATGCAAAGCCAACTACTATCGGTTTCTCCACAGCAGCTAGTGTGGTAGTGACGCGCAACGGCAGATATGGATACTATCACTGCGGGTAACTTGCACAGTCGAATCTACGACCGTATGTTTACAGATCTCCCACGGCAGGACTACGGGAGGGACAGGCTCCCAGAAAACAACCCTGAAAGATGGAACAAAGATAACGTAATTAAATTGCGGTCGGTAGCTAAATATTATGATAAATCATCAAAATTCGAGGTAATTCATGTCGAACTCAGTGCCTAATTTTATATCATGCTATCAATCAATGAAAGTCTACCAAAAGCAAGAGTTATAGCAGCCCAACGAAAGCAAATCTCTGTTTCCACTTCCACCAATCTTGCTGCTGCTGCTGCTGCTATTATCCGCACGTCACATGTATAGTGTTAGATTTAATCGCATTCGTTCTCTGACGTAAAAGCATCGAACAGTATAATAATACAATAACCGCACTAGCAGCACCGAGCCCGCGACCGTGTTTCCCTCATCTGTTTGTATATTATTTATTAAATGCTTCCCAAGTTCTGGTCAATCGATGATCCATCCCTCATGTTGTCACTGAGCTATAGGGGGACATGGGGCAATTTGGCCACCCTACGAAAACCATCACTAATGATACCAAGTGCAGTGAAAAGTTCTGATGATTTTCTATCAAGTGGAAAGTTTCAAGTCCCATGTACACAGCAAAAAAATAATTTTGATATCACATCAAAGTGGATGCACTACAATCATGTCGAAAATTTCATGTAATTTTTATGACCACATAAATAAACAAATGCAGTAAAAGCAGCGTAATGTCAGTTCATGCATTGTATTAATGATAATTTTGTCCTTTTTAGCAAGTAATATTACACCATATTTTCGACATGATTGTAGTGCATCCACTTTGACGTGATATCAAAATTATTTTTTTGCTGTGTACCTCATGCATACAAATTCAGGGTGTCTACTCATTTAGATAAATAAAATTCCCTGAATTGTCCAGGTTTTTCCAGAAGAAATAGTTTTTTAAAGGGAATTCCTTGAAATGGTCATCGAAATTCCCTAGGTTCTCTTTCAGTTATCGAAAGATGGTTACAGGAACAATCGCGAAATTATCCATAGTATTTCTTTGAAATTTACCTCGAAAACTTCGTTGATCAAATCATCCTCAGAATTTTCATTGAATTATGCTCTGAATTCCCATTGGATTCTTCTTCTTCTCTTGAATTCTACTACTAGAAGCACCTTGGAGATTTCCATAGAATACACTTTCAATTCTACTTACAAATTCCTTAAAAAATTCACCTCCAAATTACTTTGCATTTTTAGTTTATTCACATTTATTTATTTATTTATTTAATCAGTGTATAGACCGTTTTACAAGTGTTGTCTTAAGTGCTATTTTTACAATTTTGTCTTTGTTTATATTTTTTTATAATATATCTTGAGAACAAGTTAAAAAAATACTTCTAGCTGACGTTATGCGAGGAATTAAAATATTGTCATTGTAAAGTCAATGTTATCGCAGTGCTTATTATATGTGTCCATCATTTGGTTCAAGGGTCTAAATTTCATTACAAACTCATTTTGATTTCATTTGCCAGGACATTAGTCTGATATCATATTGTGCTTTCATTATGCAGTCAAGACTTAAATGAAAGCAACTTAACTTGAAGTTCTGCTGTTAACGTCTTGTTTAAAATTTAATTTAAGCTCATCTGTCGTTGAACTAACGCATATTTATTTGTTTTGTTTAACACATTTGAGATCATTCGTTATTTACCCGAGGTGAGGTTTGAGGTCAAGTCTTTCAGCGTGAGAAGCATGGATGCTAACGATTTACGCCAGGCCCGTATTCAGTTAAACATTATGAATGCAAAATCAGAAATCAAATTGATGTAGTTGAAAGCAAGATTACTTTTCCATTTGATTCAACAGTGTAAAAGTTTGCTCTCATTTTTGCTGTGTTAACCGTTAAGTCAACCAAAATGAGATCAACTGGAGTATTCAAAATAAATTATTAAGTTTTGATTTCAATTTGATTTCCAGCTTTTCTCGGGTAGCCTCTTGCCCTGTAACGACTAGCCTTAGGGAAGATCGGGCAACCAACCCCGGTGGGAAATTTGGTCGTATGCTGACAGGGAAGGGGGAGCTGCATCCTTTTCGGAGGATGTGACTTACAAAACCCGAGCGTCTGTTCTCCATGGTAGGGGCGGCTCAAACAGCGTCTGACTGGCATCCAGCGGCTGAATACGAAATGCTTCTCCCCGAAAGCTATACCCAAGATGGCAGTCCCATCACGGCCGATAAGAGACCTTAGGCTAACCACCTACTGTCTCCGAAACCTTCAAATTGTTACAGAAACCTATAGTAGGGTGGCAAGTGAATTTCTGATTTTAAATTCCTGGTTTTTCCCCGGTTTTCCTGGTATATTCTATAAAAATTCCTGGTTTTCGAACAAAGCTTTAAAGGGTGATACGGTCAAAATTTGGTCAAGGGAAAACGCGTGTAAATCGGTGAAATCGTTTATTTAAAAAATCAAATTAAATTTCTTTTTCAAGTTCAATTAGTATAAAATTCAGGAAAAATATTCAGTTAGGCTTCCGCTTTTCCAAATCCGAATTGCCGGGCCTTACGCTTGACCCCTGCCATCAGATTTTGTACAGCCACCTTGTCCACCTTCTTCGCCGCAGAAAGCCAGTTTGCCTTTAACTGCTGCTCGCCCTTAGCAGTTTTTTTGGTCTTCTTTAGGTTCCGCTTGACAATAGCCCAGTATTTCTCAATTGGGCGGAGCTCTGGCGTGTTGGGAGGGTTCTTGTCCTTGGGAACCACCTGCACGTTGTTGGCGGCGTACCACTCCATGGCTTTTTTACCGTAATGGCAAGATGCCAAATCCGGCCAAAACAGTACGGAACAACCGTGTTTCTTCAGGAAAGGCAGCAGACGTTTATTCAAACACTCTTTCACGTAAATTTCTTGGTTGACAGTCCCGGAAGCTATGAAAATGCTGCTTTTCAAGCCACAGGTACAGATGGCTTGCCAAACCAGATATTTCTTTGCGAACTTTGACAGTTTCATGTGCTTGAAAACATCTGCTACCTTTCCCCTTCCTTTTGCCGTATAAAACTCCTGACCCGGAAGCTGCTTGTAGTCGGCTTTGACGTAGGTTTCGTCGTCCATTAGCACGCAGTCAAACTTCGTCAGCATCGTCGTGTACAGCCTCCGGGATCGCGCTTTGGCCGTCGTATTTTGTTTATCATCGCGATTTGGAGTCACTACCTTCTTGTAAGTCGATAGTCCGGCTCGTTTTTTTGCCCGATGCACGGTTATAGACGATACACCCAGCTTATTTGCGGCATCTCGGAGAGAGAGGTTGGGGTTTCGCTTGAAACTACCGGCAACTCTCTTTGTCGTCTCAGCGGCTTCCGGTTTTCGATTTCCCCCCGATCCAGACTTCCTGGCTGTCGACAAACGTTCCCCAAACACTTTAATTACATTTGTGGCTTAAATGGTGGCTACCTTACATACATACATACATGCATATTTTGCTGAAATTTTTGGTTTTAATGCATGAATTCTCAAGCATTTCGCTCCAAATGACACTTAATTGTTTTGTCACAAAAGTAACGGAGATTACCCAAATAACCCTCAATCATTGCGACACTGCACAGCTGTTGTGGCAGTCGACAACGGAAACAAAGTGCGACGTTGCGATCATTGCAGAACCGTATTGATTCCCTCCCGATAAGGGTAACTAGGTGGCTGATAGAGCTGCGATGGCTGCAATCAGTCTTGTAAGCGGTCACGGTAGTCGACACATTTTCTGTGATAATTGACTGCCTTTGCCTCCGACACTTGCAAAACAAGCTATCATAGTACAGTACCAAACTAAAATGTCATATGACAGGCTCTTGCATACGACACTGTCATCGAAGACCGTCACGAATGTATGTATTTTAGTTTTTCTCATAATAAGAGCTGCTGATGGTGTGCTTGAGTGAATTCTGAAAATAGCAAGCAAAGATGTCCTAGTAATAATATTTCTGATCAGAAATGGTTTGATTTACACCAAATTGAGGAATTACAACGAAATCACACATGTCATATGATATTTTGATAATTTTCTTTTAGCTCGAATGTTATTCTACCGCTCGTGTTGTGTGAGAGAGACGACGGTAGAGCATGAGTGTTCGAATACAAACAGACTGTTGCGCACGACAACGAAGCGAGTGTAGTAAAAAACGTCAACTGTTTCAACCCCTGGCTGCAATACAAGTTATGGGCAGGTACCCCATTCAAGAAGGTTTCGTGATCCCAGAATCTTCATATGCAGTTGCTACGCACCACCTAGATAGACGATACAGCAGTTCCACGATGCTGGATTGACTTACCGAAGAGCTGGTCGAACGAAGATCGGTAGTCATTGGAGGAAACTTTAATGGTTGGGCAGTGGAGTGGGGAAGCAGATGTTCCAATGCAAGAGGGCACAGTCTGCTGGAACCTCTGGCAAAGCTTTAAGTTATGCTGTCCAATGAAGGCACCAGCAGCACTTTTCTGAAAGATGGCCGGGAATCCATTATCGACGTCACTTTCTACAGTCCGTCGCTGGTGGCAAACATGAGTTGGACAGTGTGCGAAGGTTGTACCCATAGCGACCATCAGGCGATTCGACATGGCATTGGTAGTACGGAGGACGCGCCGCTATTTGAGATATTCAAAAAGATAAAAGTCTCTCACAATCACAATAGTTCCCTCTGACAGTGCAGCGCAAACAGGCTATAATCATTTTAATTATTTAAAAAATTGGTATAACTCGGTACAAAATCTCAAAGATCTGTACATCGGTATCAGTGTTAAAAAGTCGGTTTAAACACCGATAAATCGGTATATCTGCAACGTTGTTGGGGAAGTTGCAACGAATTATTTCTAGCGAATTTGTTTTTGATTCACTAAAAACCTGGATCGGGTATCAAGATTGGGTCGGCTTGTTGTCTGTCAAACGTCACTGTAAACGTTTATTTTTGTAACCTGGCTCGGGTTGAGGTTTCTCACTGAAAATAAACTCCGGTGCGCACGGCTTGGAACTGGTTCCAACCAGGATAATAAACAAATTCGCTATTAGAGGGGCTGGTATGTATCTACGGTCCATACAAATTTCCAAAAAAAATGTATGGACGATTGTCTACACACTTAGAATTAATGACTACCGACTTTCAACAGGTGAACTGTTCGGTAAAAATCAGGCATTTTAATTCATTCGTTTTAAACCTTCAAACAAGGAAAATTTCTCCACAATGACAAGATTCGATTATTAAGGTTGACAGTGTTTTCAATTTAAAACTTAGTGAAATGACGGTGAAAGTTTCAGCTATAGGAAGTTCGGTAAAAGATTACCGAAGTCGGTAATAATTTATAGGTATGTACGCGGGTGTCTACGTATGAACAGCCCCTAATGGCCATTCGGACTAATGATTTTCAACCTAATGGCCATACAGCATTTTCCACTAAAGCATATTATAATATTACTGAAAACACTATAAAAACTTATTATAATCCATGACTTCGTAGTATTTTTTTTTTCAGAATTATTTACAAAATTGTTCAAAATGCGACCTGAAATGAAAATTAAATCTTCTAGACGAACTAAACTTCATAAGTTCTTTAGTAGTTTTAAACTGTCCTCGAGTGACCATTTTTGAAGTTCCTTACGAATGTCTATTGAATTTTTCGTCTTTGAAGACCTACTATCTTTATAAAATATTCGTATACAATTCACCTAAAATTATGAACAAATCAATTTGTAGAATTCTTTAATGAGTAACTTTTCCTTTTTCTTTATTTTACGACTTATTATAAAATTTAACAAAGTTGAAGTGAATGAATTTCTCATGTGGAGTGCTACAAAAATCCAAAAGAATTATTTATGTGATTAGCCCAGAATTCTCTTTTTAACTGAATTCTCTAAGAATCGAAAAGTTCATTGTTCTTGGACTCAAATACATGGTGAATTTTGTAATGCACTATATTATGCAATGAACACATTTTCCATCCTTCTATAAGGGTAGCATATAATATAAACATAAAATCAAAATTCAACCTACTTTAGATCCTTCCAGGCGGAATCCGCTTACACGTACCGCGATGGATGCAGTTGAAAGATTTCCTTCGTCGTCGTTCTTAGGTAGGTACTGACTGCCTGGCTCACTAGCAGAACGCAGAATGCACTTTTAAGTTCAACCCAAACCAAACTGACCACTCTTGTTCACACCACTTGCTATCACGCACATTCGCAATCGATAATAATTGGCCGAGCAGCACCTGCCGCTGGATGTTTCACACACCAGCTGCTTCTGTTGCTTCTCCAGATGATTGCTGGTGGAATTATTATGTTCGTGCTGGCTTTCCACAACCGAACTGTTAGGAAAAATCGATACTCGTCAACATACGCACGCAAAGGAAACTGCAACCAGAACCTCATTCGTCCACAGACATTCCAGAACCGAATTCTCGCGCCTCGCACCAACTGGGAATTTGACGGATTCCATCACCGCACGGCGTATTCTCGCTTTACGGATCCATCTTCCGAACGGACAAAAAAGATCATTACGACGGACGAACAGATTATTGTTTTACGCGAACATATTTTTCACTCTTTGTTGTTCCAGTTTGTTGCTTTTATTTTTCTCTTTTTATTTTGATTTTTGACGTTGTTCGGACTTCGGACATAAGTGACTTTTCTTTGTTTGCGCCCATGAAGCATACCAATTAGCGGAATCGGGGCTCATTGGGGACGGATAGGCAACGAAGTATGAAAAAGTTATTTCCAGCACAAAAATATTTATTTATATAGGGGAAATGTATAAAATCAGGTATAACATTTGATAACGGCATAAAAGCATTTGTAAACAAACTTTCTAAGATTCTTTACACGCGAACCAACGTACGCCCACGGAAACCAACAACATCATCGCATAGGGGCAACTATCACCTTTCCGAAAGTGCACAGAAAAAAAAGTTGTTGAATATTACATCCAAACTGCTGCAACCAGGTCAATCCATCGGTTGTGTAATATAACGTTGTACGATGTACATCGATTTTGCAAACAAAATTACATCCATTGATGTAATATTGTATCTGCTTTTTGCTATTACATCATTGTTTCATACATCAGCTTGAATTACGTTGATCGATATTACATTTTTTTTTTGCTGTGTGGTATTGGTTTGCGTGGGCGTACTTTGGTTCGCGTGTAAAGGGCCTTACACACTTAATCACGGCTTCCGTGTTTGGTAATTTTTTTTTACAGTTTTCGAACTGTAAATCACAAAAATTACCGAACATACAGCTATTCTCAATAAAATAACTGACAATCAGTAGCTCTTGTGACAAACTACTGAATACGGTAAGAGCACAAACGAAGTTACAGACGACTTTCTCCGAAGAAATGAATTAAAATAATGTGGTTCTCTGTAATAGAATTTTAGTCCACCTTCCGCCCCTCACCGCCAGGTTCGCTAGTATTTTTGTTTTGAATTAATTCAAGTTGGTTTTGTGTGCAATGATCTGGCAACTCGTGTCCTTGCTCGTGTTGACGGGGTGCTGTTTTCTCACTCATCGAAGGAAATTTTGATTAGAGTGAGAAAGTAAGGAACAGTCAGCGCGGGAGCCGTGTGCGTTACTATAGGTGCGGCAGAAGGAATGTAGTCGACTCTGTCGTTCACACGGTGTTCTTACGCATGATCCAACGTTTCGTCACACTAGATTATGCATAAGAACGTCGTGATAATGCAAGTGCTGGCTTGTTTCCTTCTGCCTCACCAATCACATTGATCACAGCACATACGATTCTCCGTCGGTTCGTGGTGCATTATGCATTCTTTGTGCCATACCACCAGTCCAAACACTAGAAGTTTTGGAAGGTTCTCCCTCAGTACCTGTAAGCAGTGTGATACCAGCTGACATTCGCATGGGTAGAGAAATCCGGAACATTTTCTCGCTTTTGAGCATCAACGTCAACCCGGTCTCGAATCGCATTTCCGCTTGAGGTGGCATCGTTGGCAGTAATCTATTGCGCCGTGGGAAAGACCTGCTTAGTGCACGAGTGCTGGAAAATTCTGCAAGTTCGTCATTAAAATTAAATCAACTTTTCTTCGCTGTAACGTACTCCGGATCAGATTCGCTGGTGGAACGTTTTCGTGGGACGGTTTTCGACCCAAAAAGCTTCAGTTTGAACTGCTTTCTAAAAGATTTCTGGGCAGGCGTCTTGGGACGCACGATCTCCACCGAGGCATCCGTTAGCGTGTTCGTGTCGGAGCGGATGACCTGTTTGATCGGCTGCAATTCTACCATCGATTTTCGGCCCTGCTTTTTGTTTAACTTCACACGATAGTTGAAATCGAACACGGTCGACGATCCGGCGGAGGATGCTTCGTCTTCATTCTCCGAAGAAGTCAACGATTTGATCTTTTCCGAGCTGAGCTTCTCGAGCCTTACGACCGGTTTGACTCGAAGTAATTTTTCGACGGAAGTTCCTCGTTTCAGTGGAATCTTCTTGACCAGTTCCTCCAGACTGATTTCTTCGCTTCGAAGAAACGAACGAGGAAGAACTAGATGAAGACGTGGACAGCCGTCATTTCGACGTTGGTTTCTTTCGTGTAGAAACCAGATCGGAATCGCTGTCGTCACTGTCTATTGCGGTTCTCCCTGATGGAACGGAAACAGACAACATTTCCGACTCATTCATGCGCACTGGTTGCATGGCCGCGTTCGATTCGTTTGACCATTTCACTCAATACTCGGATGAAATTTTGGACCTGCTAGAGGACTTCTCATCGCCTGCGTTTGTCAATCCTAAGGTACTGGAAGCGGTGGAAGCCGGAGATTCGGACCGTCGTATGAGTACGTCAATCAATGTTTCGATTTCCGACCCGGTGGCACGGGCTGTGGAAAGTGATGGAATTGCCGGTATGTTTACGGATGGTTTTACCCGAATTGGACCAAGGGTTTTTAACCGGGGCTTTATTTTTATATGGTAGCACACCCAGCGGAAGCCATGCACATCCTAAGCATTGCTGTTCGTGACATGGGCGATATGGATGATTTACAGATGGAGCAGGTATTTGGATCGTTCTGCGCTCAACATCGTGAAGAGCTGCTCACCCGCAGAGTTAGGCGGATTACATTTGCCGCACTCAAGAAGTAAGTTTATTAAGTGTTTAGAAGAGGTTAATGAGATACTAAACCAAATATTTTTTTTACAGACGTCAATTCCCAAAATTCTTCACCTACCGAGCACGAGACAACTTTGAGGAGGATCGTATCTATCGTCACCTGGAGCCGGCATGTGCCTTCCAGCTGGAGCTGAACCGTATGCGAACGTACGACCTGGAGGCTCTGCCAACTGCCAATCAAAAGATGCACCTATATCTTGGTCGTGCCAAGGTAGCCAAGGGTCAGGAAGTGACAGATTTCCGTTTCTTCATACGTTCCATTATTCGTCACTCGGATTTGATAACCAAAGAGGCTTCATTCGAGTACCTTCAGAACGAAGGTGAACGCGTGCTATTGGAAGCGATGGATGAGCTGGAAGTGGCCTTCTCGCATCCCCACGCCAAACGTACGGATTGTAATCACATTTTCCTAAACTTTGTTCCAACGGTTATAATGGATCCGGCCAAGATCGAGGAGTCCGTGACCAAGATGGTGATGCGGTATGGGCCTCGGTTGTGGAAACTGCGGGTACTGCAAGCTGAGCTGAAGATGGTTATCCGGCAGACGACACAATCGCCAACTACCTCCGTTCGTTTGTGCATAGCAAACGATTCCGGTTACTTTTTAGATATAGCAATGTACACCGAAGTGACCGATCCGGAGACGCACGTGATCAAATTCCAAGCATACGGTAACAGGCAAGGACCCCTGCATGGATTGCCGATTTCTTCGGCCTACATGACCAAAGATTACCTACAACAGAAACGCTTCCAGGCTCAATCCAATGGTACTACCTATGTGTACGATATTCCGGATATGTTCCGCCAAATGACGGAACGATTGTGGAAGGAATTTTCCAAAGCGCGACCAACGGAAGATATTAGGATTCCCGAGAAAATTCTACTCGTGTGCAACGAGTTGGTGCTGAAGGGTGATACGTTGGAGGAGATTCAACGGTTACCGGGAGAGAACAACGTTGGGATGGTGGCATGGAGGATTGTACTGGCTACTCCAGAGTTCCCTGACGGGCGAGAGATTGTAGTCATCGCTAACGACCTAACCTATTTCATCGGATCCTTTGGACCTCAGGAGGATATGCTATTCTGTAAGGCGTCGGAACTGTCTCGGAAGCGCAAGTGCCCTAGGATTTACATTTCGGTTAACAGTGGTGCCCGTATCGGATTGGCCGAGGAAGTGAAATCCTTGTTCAAAGTGGCCTGGGAAGATCCCGACGAGCCGGAGAAGGGATTCAAGTATCTGTACTTGACGACTGAAGACTACAGCAAGATTGCAAATACGAATTCGGTTCGTGCCATTTTGATTGAGGACGAAGGAGAGCCGCGATATAAAATCACTGATATTATTGGCAAAACCGATGGGCTCGGTGTGGAGAATCTGCGTTATGCTGGTATGATTGCCGGTGAAACTTCGCGAGCGTATGAAGATGTGGTAACGATTTCGATGGTGACCTGTAGAACGATCGGTATCGGTTCCTATTTGGTACGTCTTGGTCAACGTGTGATACAAATTGAAAATTCTCACATTATTCTGACTGGCTTCGCCGCGCTGAACAAACTATTGGGTAGAAAAGTGTACGCTTCTAATAACCAGTTGGGTGGTATTCAAATCATGCACAACAACGGTGTCACGCACAAGACCGAGGCAATAGATTTGGACGGTGTCTACACGATATTGTATTGGCTCTCTTACATTCCGGATGTGCGTGGAGGAACGCTGCCAATCGTAACGACCAGTGACTCAATTAACCGACCAATCGATTTCATGCCAACTAAGGCGCCCTATGATCCGCGGTGGATGCTAGCAGGACGTGTCAATCCGTCCAATCCCTCTGAATGGGAAAGCGGTTTCTTTGATCGGGGAAGCTGGTCGGAAGTGATGGAACCATGGGCTCAAACGGTTGTTGTGGGTCGTGCCAAACTTGGTGGCATCCCGGTGGGTGTGATTGCGGTAGAAACTCGAACAGTCGAGCTGACCATTCCGGCTGATCCGGCAAACCTTGACTCGGAAGCCAAAACATTCCAACAAGCCGGTCAGGTATGGTTCCCGGACTCATCCTACAAAACGGCACAAGTAATCAAAGACTTTGGACGAGAGGAACTGCCACTGATTATCCTGGCCAACTGGAGAGGGTTCTCCGGTGGACAGAAAGGTAAAGTGTAATTTAGGTAACTTTAAATGATAGCATCTAACTGATGCATTCTGCGTTTCTAGATATGTACGAACAAATCGTTAAATTCGGTGCCTACATAGTTGACGGGCTGAGGGAGTACAAACAACCGGTCATCGTCTATCTACCACCGAATGCGGAACTTCGTGGAGGAGCCTGGGCTGTGTTGGATCCGACCATCAATCCACGGTACATGGAAACCTATGCCGATCCGGAATCTCGTGCGGGAGTGCTAGAGCCTGAGGGTATTGTCGAAGTCAAATTTAAGGAAAAAGACCTGGTCAAGGCCATTCAGCGGTTAGATCCGGTGACGTTGAATGTATGTCCTACCAACAAATTCGTCCGCGTTCCAGTCTAAAAGCAGTATAAATTTTCTTTTAAATTTATTTGACTTTTCATTCGTAGCGGTGGATTTGCAAAAGATTAGCAAATTGTTGAGATATTTTTAAAATATAACACTGCTTCTGAACGCATTGATATTCAATGGCGCTGCACTTTGGCCTATCGAATAAAGAAAAAAATGGATTCCACCAGAGCGCTTTTGTTTTTGAGAATAGCGGGTATAAACATTCATATCACACATACTTATTTACTTGTTTCAATATCTTTTTAAATAAAGTACCGTACCAAGCGCTTTATTGACTCAAGGTTTCCCAGGTGCCATGAATAACTTTCGAAGCGATCGAATAAATTTCCCCATAAGGCATCAAATACCATTCCCCACAAAGACCTGCTTATGACCCAATGCTGATTCATGAGATCCTCCCTTTATGCCAGAAGGGAAGCGATGAAGAAGAAGCTGTGTGATTTACCTAAAATACATAATTCGCATCGATGCCAAGAATTGTCGCTTGGATAGGCCTATTTTACGGGATCCGGAAAAGGCGTTTCCAAATGCGATTATACGGAGTTGCTAAAGAGTCACGCCACCACGCGCCGTCCTCTGGATGACTTCAGTATCATCAACTGGAGCGACATGTTGGAACACATTTAGCTGCTCGATAGCCCTGATGGATTACATTACAGGTGATTACAGTATTTAGCATTAAAATAGAACTACGCGACGGAAAGAACAGTGTGTCGAATAAAATAAATAATTAGTAGAAGAAAAACCAAACAAAACAAAAGAAATTTAAATTTCAAAAATTAATAGCAAGCTAACTATTTTTCTTTTGAAATAATCGTCGATGTCTTCTCGGTCGCGGATGACTGTGGCTTTGGTTAGAAGCACGGACTGATGAAATCTGTAGCAACAATTGCCGCCAACAAGCGCGAGTCATTGACTGCTCAACATCGTTTACTTATAAGCAAATGTTAACCCGAAGTATTCACCACTGATAATGTTGGCCCAGATAACAACGAAAGCAACATAATGTCATGCTGTCTGACAACAGGCTTTCCCTTTCAATTTTCGTTAGAGAAAAAGAGATAACAGGCGGTACAATCAATAGCTTTAAACTAGTACGTATGAGTAGATAGTGTTGCCGTGAGGTACACTCGAAAATTTCAAATGTAAGTACGTCAAATCAAATTTCGAGCCGCTCCGTCTGTCACTTCGTTTGTGGTAGTACCATAGAGGTAACTCTAAGACAAGTAGGTCCCGAAGAAACGTGCTCAACTTTTTGGCTCACCTCTGGTACTATCATAGAGGTAACTCTAAGACTACTGGGTCCCGAAGAAAATCATTATTATTTTTGGCTCACTCAGTACCAGAACAACGGTCCCAAGCAGTCCCAAGCTATTTCACTCACCCCTGCATGTTCTGCATGAATCCACACACCCCTGATGTTATCTGTCAAACTTTCATAGCGAATCAAAACAAACATAGTGTAGTAATAGAATTTAAACTAGAATAGGGTACGTTAATCGTTTGCTTGGGACCAATAGGCTACTAAAGTGGTGAGCCAATTTAAAATCGTTAGTTTCGTATTGATTGTTGGTACTATCTTCGGTCCCAAGCTTGTCGAATCACCCCTCGAAACATAGGAAAAACCAATAACCCCTCATTTTATCAGTCAAACTTTCATAGCGAATCAAAACAAACATTGCGTAGTACTAGAATTTCGACTAGAATAGGGTACGTTAATCGTTTGCTTGGGACCAATAGGCTACTAAAGTGGTGAGCCAATTTAAAATCGTTAGTTTCGTATTGATTGTTGGTAGTACCGCCACCTGGGGCGCGCATAGTCAGTTCCCTTGCGTTTGACGTTTATACACTATCGCCATCTGTTCAGCGTACTACCCACCACAGTGTACTCAACAGATGGCGGTAATGTTTTAGCGACGATGTTTTACAGTGAGAAATATTCAATGTGTTATGTCTGTTTGTCTGTGGTATAACCATAGAGATAACTCTAAGGGTACGGCCAGGGTAGACGCGATTCGCGACGCGACGCGACCAATTCAAAAGAATCTTGTTATTTATTATTATTCCTTGCGTGAGTCGCATTGCGTCGCGTCGCGTGTCGCGTCTACCCTGGCCACGGCCTAAGACTAGTAGCAACAATCAATTCGAAACTAACGATTTTAAATTGGCGCACTACTTGACTAGCCTATTGGTCCCAAGCAAATGATTAACGTATCCCATTCTAGTCGAAATTCTAGTACTACACAATGTTTGTTTTGATTCGCTATGAAAGTTTGACATATAAAATGAGGGGTTATTGGTTTTTCCTATGTTTCGAGGGGTGAATCGATTAGCTTGGAACCGAAGAGAGTACCAGAGCTGAGCCAAAAAGTTGAGCACGTTATTTCGGGACCTTATAGTCTTAAAGTTACCTCTATGCTAGTAGGTCCCGAAGAAACGTGCTCAACTATTTGGCTCAGCTCTGGTACTATCTTCGGTCCCAAGCTAATCAATGCACCCCTCAGAACATAGGAAAATCCTCATTTTATCTGTCAAACTTTCATAGCGAATCAAAACAAACATACTGTAGTACTAGAATTTTGACGTACCAACACTGAATTGACCACTTTGTCAAGCAGTTTTGGTGTGACTTTCTACCAGTGATTTCACAAAACTGGACCAACTAATTTCTCTTTTTTTATTAAACGCACTAATGTTGGCTACTTTTCTCGAGTTTCTAGAAGAAAAATTCTCAAAATAATGTTTTTTTCCTTTGTTTGTTTTTGCGTCGATCTTGTTTTCCGTGCTGAGCACCAATGCTACCGACGCCAGGAAGGCAGCTCCCACACCTGGACCCTACCTATCGACCCATCAACTCATGAACCGGGGACCAACGGCTTTACTTCCCTTCCGAAGGAAGGCGTGATCAGAGATGTTATGCCTCAGAACATCCCGGCGGCGCCGACTGGGATTGAACCCAGGCCTGCTGGGGTGAGAGGTAATCACGCTTACCACTACACCACCGGCGCCGTTATCAAAATAATGTTGTTTCAAAGTTCGAGTGGTTGTAAACGTCATTTTATCTGCTCGAATGAAGTGGTTAATTAATAGATCGCATCGTTCGAGCAGTTTAGAATGACGACTCTTACCACTCGAACTTTGCTGTGGAATAATATTTTGAAAATAATTCTTCTAAAACTTCGCGAAAATAGGGTCTTATTTATGCTAAGATAGAAAAATCTGGATCTTGTTTCTTCATTTTCTTGAAATCGGTGGAAGATGGTCGTTCCAAATCTCTCTCCGGCAATATGATTAATTAGGGGAATTCGTTTCGCGAGCAACTCGTGTTTTTTTTGTGGATGTTGTAAAAGGCTAAAATGTGAATCCGAGTTTCCACAGGATAATTCAGAGCAACACGAGAGAGCTTCGGGGTTTGTCAGGAAATTTTGAGAACTTAGGGAACACGTTCAAGAGCAATATTAGTCGGAATAGCGAGTACAAAAACGGATTTCACAATACAGCTTGATTAAATGTAAGACAGCATTCTTCTGTACGTTATCAACATTCTAAATTTATTCATCCACGAATGTTGAAAACCCTCCCCCAACATGGTTTCTGTTATATAGGTACCTAAATTTTACTTTTGCAGTAGGACCTTTCTTCACACACTTTTACCCTTTGCCTTCTCGGTCGTCTCAAGTCTTTTCGCACTACTCCACGAATCACACAGGAAATACAAAATAATAAAGAATCTCCTCCTCTCGAGCCGTTTACTCGAATACAAATTCGTAGTACGAAGCGTCGAAAACTTGAACGCGCACAAAACCATCCTCACCACCCGTCGCGTAGCTCTTGCCATCCGGATGGAAGGCCAAACTGTTGATTGGACCGAAATGGCCCTTAACTCGAGCGAACTCTTCTTCGTACACCAAGTGGAAGAATCGGGAATCGAACTTGCCGGACTTGGTCGAAGTCGTTGTGACCTCCATAGCTTCCTGTCCACCACCCACTACAACGTGCTCATGGATTGGGCTGATGGCAGCCGAATTGACCGGACGTTCCGTTTTGTAGGTCTTCAAGCACATCAGCGATTCCGAATCAAACAGCTTGGCCGTGGTGTCCTTGGAGGCGGAAACCAACATGGTTCCATCGAAGGACAGTTGCATATCATTGATGACGCCAGTATGGTCGTTGACGGAATTCAGTTCCTTCGCAGTACGCAGATCCCAGATACGGATCGATCCGTTCTCATGACCGGTGATAACAGTCTCGTCCAAAGCTCCCCATAGACAGGAGGTAATCTTTGACTGCTGGTTCATGGTCAACTTCAGAACCGGGCTCTGGCTGCTGATACTAGAGTCTACATTTCGAACGTCGATGATGAACAGCTCGCAGTTGTGACCCATAGCCTTATCGGTCGAGTAGGATGCCTGGTTGCCCGAGTAGCTGAAGTTTGCCGTACGGGAAGATGAGGTTGTTGGAATGCTTCCCAAGATGCGTCCTGTTTCGACGTCCCACAATCTGTAAAATGGATTAAAAATTTACAATCTTTCGAATGTTTGAGCTAGTAAACAAATAGAAATCTGACTTTGTAGACATGTCACCACTGCCGGTGATCAATCTGGTCGTAGTCCAGTCGACATCCACACACCAAACGGCACCCTGATGACCGTTGTACGTTCCGAGACGTTCTCCGTTAAGTGAGAACCACACCGAAGGTTTGTGATCCTTGGCCGTGGAGAAAATCAGATCTCCCTCCCGGTTGTACTTGATCTGCGTTATGGCACGCTCGTGCCCTTGTAACATTAACGGTTTCTGAAATGTTACAATTTTGAAAGGATTAATCACCAGGCGGATCACAGATCTACGGAAACGCAGTCATTCTCTACCTCTGCCCGGATTGACACAAGCTTTGAGGTTATGAATTTATTCACACAATATTTTTTCACTTATCCACTCATATTTGCACAATATAATGATTTCAAAATATTCCACGCAATTTCACGACCCGCATACATACCATTTTGGGGTGCAAGTGCTAGTTTTCCGGTAAATTTTCACGAAATTTCACCTGCAAAACTGGCAGCGAGTCAAAAGGCTTGAAAATGTTTGCGACGAAAGGATCGAAACTCGATACCGAAACGTCAGCTTGTCAAAATTGATGTCTAGGTATCGGGTGTGAAAGGTCGAAAATGAACGGCAGTCGAATTGTGACACATGCAGCCAAAAAAATTGCACATTGGCGTTCCATGTCTCTGAGCAACTGTCAGTTTGTCGCTTTCGGAATTTCGGCTTGACTTTCGGTCGCGAGTGAAATCGTAAACAAACCCGATCGGTCTCAGTGGAGTGAAAGTCTTGCAGACGTCCCCGAATTTCAATTGCTGCATAATTTTATTGCTTTAGGTATTTTTCATCAGTAATACTAGTGCAACTAGCAAGTAACTTTTGCTCTTTAACATTTAAACAATGCCTAATGGTTGTCCCCTTTCAAGATTTCCTCCAGTGACCGACTACAGCGATGCGAGCCCCAATCCCGGATTGAGGTTAAACTCCCGAAAATGGAGTCGAGTAACGGTAGCGAGAAAGTAGAACTGAACAATCTGGTGAAAAACATCGTCAAAATTCTGCTATCCACTTCCAAGTACTTCCACTGTCCGTTCTGTGCCGACGAGTATTTGTTCGAGTTCACCCTGAGACATCACCTGTTGAAGAATCATGAAGAGGATCTGTCCAAGATTGTCCAATCGCCGGATTCCAGTATTAAGTTCTGTGATAGCAACATCTGCCCTTACTGTGGGGCCTTATTCTACTACATATCAGCACTTCCGAAGCACATCATGAACAGTCACAGCCGAGATTGTCTGATCAAATGGCAAGCAATCGAGAGGGAAAACAGCCTCCGGAAGCGGTTCGCAGCCGAGCCGAGCATCAAATGTGTACCCTGTTCCCCGGGACTGAGCGATCTGTTCGAAGAGCTCAACACAGATTCCAGTCGAAAGAAGAAGCATCGAATCCACCGTCGGAAAGCTTCCCCGCTGTACAAGTCTGCGTTGAAGAACGCTAACCGAATCTCCGCTACCAAGCGTTCCGAATCCTGGGTTAGTTGTGATTTCGAATTTTCCACCGGTGATGCCGTAGGCACCGGTTCCGTCTCGCGTCGATCCGGTACGGTTCGTAGGGAGCTGCAGTTCGATGCGGTAGCATCGGAACCAACGACACCGGACGCCGAAGCAGTTTCTTCCGTGAAGAAGCCGAAACGCGCCCGTAAGCGTTTCAATCTCAAATTACTCAAGCCGAGAATTGGCTTGAGGAAGTACGTTCTGTCTAAATTTACCAAAAAGTATCGCTGCAAGATCGTGACCAGCACGCCGAACAATTTCCTGGACGATAGCGAGGCCAGCGTGGCCGATTCGCGGCTGCACAATCAGGAGCGCTGGAACAAGATACATTTTGACTGATGCGATGACGACTGCGGTAAGTAGCGGTTTTTTGTCGTCGTTACCCCCCAAAGTATGGTTTGGTATAAGGTATTTTTTTTTTGTATGAAGTATTTCTTATTTTTATGGTATTAACGATGAAATTAATATATGATAGAATTCAAGAGTATTCTTGAAAGTTTGATAAAATATTGTATCTCTTGCCCAACGAGAATATATTGGTTTACGACTCGCATTTTTGGTAGGCGCTAACGTTTGATATGTATAAATAATATATCCCATTTTTGATATATATCTTAAACTGTTCAATCTTTCAATGTAAATGTAAATATTGTGAAAGCCAAAATTGATTTTAACTACATGATATTTAACTTTAACTAGTTTTTAATTGACCCTATATTATTGACTAAATATATGTATGAGTGTGCAGGGTCTCTTATGAGTGAGTGAGTTTGCTGTAAGTTTCATTAGTAATAGGTTTGTTCCAGCAGTTGCTTAACTAACAGATTATATTACTATCGGTAGAAGTAGTTAAATCATCTGTAAGTAGGGAGGCCAGATAGCTTAAAAAATTGCCTGTACGAAAGTTGATACATTGTCTGTATTTGTCAGTATCAGGAAGTTTGAATATGTAGTGAGAAGGGGTGAGGAGGGTTTTGAAAGGGATTGAAGTCAATTTCAGGGTCGTTACGAGAAATTCCGAATGCAACGTGTCCATATTGGACTCGAACATAACTCAAAGGTTTAAAGTAAACTTTGTAATAAGGAATTTATGAAGAGTTTTGAGTATGTTGGTTTATTTCCTTTAAATTCCGTTATAATTGCTTATGTTTTTACAGATACGCGTATTTCGTCTACTACTTGCAGACTTCATCAGTACGCGTATCTGTCAAAAGATAAGCAATTATAACGGAATTTAAAGGAAATAAACCAACACACTCAAAGCTCTTCAAAAAGACAAATTTAAAGAAATAAGAATTTTTCAACAAGAAGTATCTCAACTGTTTTTAGAATCCTGATGAATGTGGGCGTCTTAGTGGAATACCTGTATGATGAGAGAGAGAAAGATTAGTATTTTCCATTTAATTCCACTACTTTATTTGCTTATCCTTGACAGATACGCGTCTTTCGTCTACAATTTGCAGACTTCTTCAGTGTCTTGTACTAAACTAACTGTACTGTACTAAACTCGACAGTCGAGTATTAGTACAAGACACTGAAGAAGTCTGCACATTGTAGACGAAATACGCGTATCTGTCAAGGATAAGCAAATAAAGTAGTGGAATTACGTAGAACTACGTCTTTGTCGACTATACTGGGGTACAAATAAAAAAATATGTGTGGTGAAATAGTGTTAGGTTTTGAGCGCTTGTAACTTTGTCATTTATAGATGAAATTAAAATCCAAATACGCCAATAGATAGGATATTACTTAACGAATCTTCTGAAATAAATAATTCTCCAATTTTTAATCAAAAAACTTTTGAAAAATGCGCAAATGATAATTTTGGTCACTGTTTTCATGAACTAAACGTTTTCCCCAAACCCAGTCATCATGAACGAATACCACTTGGTTGCACATCATTCTGCTTGAACCTGAAATGATATAAATCAGCACTGCTCTCCTGCCTCTGCTCATTCTTTGCTCGACTGTTGAGCTGTTCAGTCCGTATTTTTCGCTCGAGATCTCGTTTCGATTTTGTTTCGTTTTGTGCTGTCGCGTTGCGCCGTGGAAGTGTCGCCACGTTCCCGCGTTCTGGCAAGTTTACTTGAACTTGCAAACACGAAACAAATGGTGCGTAAACGTGCCAATGAGTCAGCAGCTGGCCCTTCAAAGAAGGTGCTTATCAAGCCCAGCGCGTCGAAGGATGACGCCGAAAAACGAGTACTCCAAGCCAACCAGTATGCAGTACTCCCGGAAGAAAACGGCGATGGTGACGCCGCTCCCATTGCAAGAAAAGAGCGAATTTCCCGCTTTTCACGCCGGTGAAGGATGTTGCCAAGCTAGGTGCCGAACTGGCAAAACACAAGCTGCTGCCTCGCTTTAAGCTTTGCAGCATCGGTACCAAAATCATGTGCTCCAGCCTGGAGGAGTACAAACAAATAGGATGTTTCCTGAAGGAAAACAACGTGGACTTCTTCACGCATGATCTGCCATCGAGCAAGCCACTGAAGGCGGTTTTGCGTGGATTACCGTCGTTCGAGGCGGCTGCGGTGAAGTCCGAGCTGGAGCGGCTAGGGCTCCAACCTGAGGCCGTGTTCCAGATGAACCGCCGTTCCATCAACAATACCAGCTTCCGTGACCAGTTGTTCCTGGTGCACTTCACGAAGGGATCCACCAGTCTTGCGGCTCTGAGATCCAAAATCCGGGACCTGTTTCAGGTCATCATCAGTTGGGAGCATTACAAACCCCAACATCGTGATGTTACGCAGTGTACGAACCTATGGCCATGGCACCAAAAACTGCCATAAGAAGACAAATTGCGGCAAGTGTGCTGGAACTCAACTGCATCCTGTGAGCAAGTTGATGACATAAAGCCAACGTGTGTCAACTGCGGTGGAAACCATCAAGCCTCCAATTGCGGATGTCCCAAGCGAGTGGAGTTCATTAATATCCGTCGGAAGGCTACAATCAACAACCAGGTCGGTCGCCTCCGTAATCATCGTTCGCCTCCTGTACTCACAAAAGTCCAGTACCCAGCTCTCCAGCCCCGTCGACATGTTCCGAACCTAACCCCGCTTCCGCTCAACAACCAACAAGCCAGCCCTGCGAGTATCCGCTCTGTTGTTACCATCTGGATGTCGTCTTTTCTACGCAGATGACGCCAAAATCTACAAAATTATCAAAAGCCTCTCGGACTGTTGGGATCTCCAGCATATGCTATGTATTTTCGCTGACTGGTGCACGAGAAATTTGATGGGCCTGAGCATCGAAAAATGCAACGTCATCTCCTATCACCGTAAAAACGAACCAATTATGTTTGACTATGTGCTCTTTGGACGTTGCATTGCCCGTGTAGAACAAATAAAGGATCTCGGTGTTACTCTGGACTGCGGGCTCACCTTCAAAAGCCATTATAACGACATCATTTCCCGAGCCAATCGCCAACTGGGTTTTATTTTCAAAATTGCCGATGAGTTCCGGGACCCGTTATGCCTCAGACCACTTTACTGCTCACTTGTGCGGTCTATATTAGAATCAAGTGCAGTTGTATGGTGCCCTTTCCAAGCCACTTGGATCGCTAGAATCGAATCTGTTCAACGAAAGTTTGTGAGATATGCTCTTCGTTTCTTGAACTGGCGTGACTCATCGAACCTGCCACCGTACGAGGAGCGTTACCGTCTTCTGGGCATCGAACCGCTAATGGTGCGACGGACGGTCGCTCAAGCTATGTTTGCTGGAAAGCTTCACACGGGTGACATCGACTGTCCAACGTTGCTGGCCCAGCTAAATATGTATGCTCCTGAGAGACCTCTTCGTCTACGCGAATTTCTGTTTTTGGAGCCACGAGGCAGAAATTATACGCAGAATGAGCCAATTCGTGCAATCAGCCGACAATTTAACTACTTTTATTGCGAATTTGACTTTAACGTATCAGCTAATGTGTTTCGTCACCGGTTACTTGACCGTTTTCGTTTCGTTGACCATAACTATTTAGATTAAGTTTTATTCATTAAGACATTAATTGTCAGTTGAATTATTAAATAAACAAACAAACAAACAAATGGTTCCCAACAGTCGGACAGTTCAGCATCGTCTCGCTGCTGCTGCGGCCCAGCCAATTCCAGGTTCATCCACCGCCCTGGTTTATCATATGCTGATGCTGTCTCAGGTGAACCTGTCGACGATTCTCCGTTCACCTCGGAGGAACTTGTGATGCTCGTGGCCGAGGTAATCATCATCATGCGCACCTGCAAGACTCAATCTGAACAGCTACATGCTGCCCTGTCCCTAAGTATGGACCTTGAAGCCATCAAGATCGTAAATTGGAATGCTTGCTCGTTGAAGAGCAAAAACATCGAGTTTGTTGACTTTCTCGTGCACATCGACATAGCCGTCATCACCGAGACTCACTTGAAGCCCGAGCTGAACGTCTTCCTTCCCGACTTTCGGCTCGTAAGGCTTGACCGCACCAGCTCCGGGGGAGGGGGAAGGGGCCATCGCTGCGAGGCGGAACATCAGCTGCCGGCTACTACCAAGTTTCCAGCTGAAAATTATCGAAGCCATCGGAATTGAGGTGAGCACATCGCTTGGTCCAATCACCATCATCGCGGTCTACTGCCCCAAGCAAACCAACATTAGGGACGGCTCGGCCGCAGACCTCCGAAGAGACATCATCAAGCTAACACGACGGCGGCAAAATTTCGTCATCGCTGGCGACCTGAACGCCAAGCATCAAGCCTGGGGCAATAGATCTGCAGCAAGCCCACTACAACATTCTATGTCCGGACACTCCCACCCGGTTGAGTCGATCCGGAGCTCATGCCACCATCGACATCTTCATCAGCAACATTGGCGATAACATCTCCCAACCTATCGCCTATCAGGAACTGAGCTCGGACCACTATCCGGTGGTGGCTGAAGTAGCCCAACAAACATTGAATGTTGAATAAGAGCTTATTCAGGCAAAAACAAGCTTCTTCAGCTAAAAAATAGCTTAATCAGCTGTTGATCAACTCAAATTGTTTGTTGGGAGGTTCCTCGGCCAATAGGTTTCAAGTTTCCTGGCGAAATTACCATCGTGTCAACTGGCAGCAGTATCAGCGCTGTGTGGACAAAGCAAGCGATTACGGCGTCCTACCGGAGTCGTTCGAAGAAGTCGATCGGTGTCTGCAAGCCATCGAAGAGGCGATATCCCGTGCCAGGGAGCAACACGTACCAGCATCCAGCCAGGTGAGTCATACTCTGAACCTTGACAGCCCAACCAAATATCTTATCAGGCTCCGTAACACCATTCGTAGGCAGTTCCAGCGTTCTGGGCTGCCCCACTTGAAGACCAATGTCAATAGGCTAACCAAAATTATCCAGGCCAGGATGGTGGAACTCAGAAATAACGATTTTACCAAAAAGATTCGCTCTCTCCCAGATTGTGCAAAACCATTTTGGAAGATGACCAAAAATTTGAAAAATAAGTCGAGACCGATCCCTCCGCTTTCCTCTGTTGACCACTTAGACCCATCCCTACTGATAACCCCAGTTGAAAAGGCCAATGCTCTTGGCCAACATTTTGTGATTTCACATAATCTTGGTCAAACCATGGTGAGTGTTCAG